AGAGAGAGAGAGAGAGAGAGAGAGAGAGAGAGAGAGAGAGAGAGAGAGAGAGAGAGAGAGAGAGAGATTCTTAAGCTCCGCCTTCGCAGATTCTTAAGCTCCTGAGATTCGCCAAACATTCGCGTTCTTCCTCGCCTTTTCCGCTCTTGAAGATCCTTAGATATTAATGAAGAGATGGGGACAGTTTCCAGTGCGTTGATTTTTAGGCGTTGCTGCTGGTGTTGGTAAAGTTTTTTTTTTTTTTTTGCCTTTTGTTTATCTTTTATAGACTCGCTTTTAGGATTTCTATTCGTTCATACACACACACTTTTTGAATTTGCTGGAAGTGAGTGAGTTGCCTATTTTTTTTTTTTTTTTTTTTTTTTTTTTTTTTTTTTTTTTTTTTTTTGAGGATTTGAAGACGAAAGAACGAAGTAGAAAAAGGAAAAGGAATTGAGATGTTTTATTCAGTCGGCAAATGGGCCGTATTGAGGCTCTTTCACGTCTCTCTTGGTTCCATTAAGGGTAAGACGTAGATATTTTATATAAATGCAAACACATACATATATACTTACATATACACACTACACATACACACACACGCACACACACACCACACACACACACACACACACACACACACATATAATATATATATATATATATATATATATATATATATTATATATATATATATATATATAATATATATATATATATATTATATATATTATATATATATATATATATATATATATATATATATATATATATATATATATATATATATTATTGTTAATACTATTGTTATTAACATTACAATTATTGTTATCATCATTAGCATCATTACAATAATTTTATTATTATCATATCATCATCATTATCATTTGTATTACTGTTATTTTCATTAGTTATTTTGATATTATTATCAAATATTATTTTCATAAGCATTATCATTTTTTTATCATTATTATTATTATCATTATTTCTATCATTATCATCATTATCATTATTTTCATCATTATTATTATCATTATTATTTTTATCATTATATTATTTTTATCATTATTATCATCATTATCATTATCTTTATCATTATCATTATTTTTATCATTATCATTATTATTATCATCATTACCATTTTATTGTTATCATCATTATCATTATTATCATTAGCATTATTATTAACATTACCATCAATATTATCATTATCGTTATTATTATTATTATTACTATCATCATTATTACCATCACTGGTATCACCACCACTTCCAACATCATTACAACAGTAATACCCAACGTCACATGCACCACAACCAGAACTCCCTCCCCCCCCCCCCCCCCCCCCTGTGGCAATTGACAAAAGTGCGAGCTTGGAGGAGGAGGAAGAGGGGGGGGGGGGAGGAGGGTGATGATGAGGGTGGGGGGGGATGTGATGTGATGAGGGAGGGGGGGAGGAGAGCGCCGGGTGAAAGAACGAGGGAAAATGGACAAAGTCGAAGAAATCGGGGGAAAAAAAAAAAAAACAATTTGCGTGTAGGATCGAGCGGCGAAGGATGTCAGTCGCCAAAGGGTTGGGAATCAGTGGCCTCTTAGATCCCGCTTTTGGAGAGCTGAAAGGGTTCTCTTGCGCATATATATGCATACGTGTGTTATTCGCTTATATGTGCATATGAGGTATTACCTAGGCATATAAGCATTTATGTATATATTATATATATATAATATATATATATATATATATATATATATATATATATTTATATATATATATATATATATATATATAATATATATATATATATATATATATATGTATATTATATATATATATATATATTATATATATATATATATATATATATATATATAATATATATTATATATATATATATATATATATATACATATATATATATATATATATATATATATATATATATAATGTGGGCATATATATACACACAACTTACACACACACATATCTATATCTATCTATCTATAATATCTATCTATTATCTATCTATCTATCTATCAATCTATCTATCTATCTATCTATCTATCAATATATATATGTATGGATACAAGTATGTATATAAACACATACACATTTATAGGTTGTTTCGTGGATACCAATATTTCATTTGCATGTATCTTTATACTCGTAAATCATTTGTTTTTTAATTGTATCACAATATCAACATTTATTTTTCAGAACAGACACATCCACCCACATCTCAACTTACCCACAGATTACACAATCCTCGTATCCCCACACTTAAAACTCAAGCAGTAACAACCCCTTCCCTCCCATCCACAGTAAGCCACCTGCCGAACCTAGCATAACACTTTCTCTTTCCGGCTTGCAGTCATCGGTCCAGTAAGCCACCTGACGAACCTAACACTCTCTCTTTCCGGCCAGTCATCGTCCAGTAAGCCACCTGACGCTAACACTCTCTCTTTCCGGCTTGCAGTCACGGTCCAGTAAGCCACCTGACGAACCTAACACTTCTCTTTCCGG